GCATTACATTATGGCCGTCGTGGTACTACTACTGACACATGGTGGTAGAAAACATAAACATCCGATACATTACTGAACGTGACAGGTAGGTCTGTGTGCTGCAGCCGCATCAGCTGCGGTCGGCTCTGCTGCGGAGTGTAGTAGAAGGTTTCCTCGTCGCTCTCCGTCACGTCTAGCGGAGCGACCACGGGAGATCTGCTAGCCAGCTTCCTCGAGCGTTTCGCATGACTGCAACTCTTTTCTTCGCTGCCACGCTTCTACAACACGAGCAACGTCAAAAATGTTTTAAATGCTGTATACGGCATATTTTTCGCGTACAGATGTTTTCGTGAATTCAGACTTCGCGAGTGGTTAATTTTGCGGTCGGTGAATTATGAATGATTTGGTACCAATTATTCGCGTGTTGTTATTTTCGCGTCGGTGACGCGTTCGCGAAATTCGCGAAAATTAAACCACCGCGAAATTTACAGCTTATACAGTAGGTCAGAACAAAGGCAATTTTAATACATCCCAGCGATTGTAAAAACGGACACAATGTTCGATATCTATCTAATAAGATAACTATCGAGAATACACAGATATGATCAATCATGATCATGATAATCAAACACTCATTTCTAGTGATTAATTGATTAATCAATTGATTAATTGATCAACCTAAGGTAATTGATGTAATTGTGATACGTACGTGTGATTGTTACACATCGCAGTCGATAAACGACAATCAGACCTTTGTTCAAATGACAAAGAGTTGGAAAGATCTAGATTGTTTGTCAGAAATAATATGAATTTTTGAATTTTTTTATGAAACATGCTGAAGACGTCAGTATTGGGTATCGCTGCTTCCGAGACGGAGCTTCGGGCTTCTGCACATCTAAGGAAAGTAAGGACACGATGCCTATAGATGGCGCCACTTTCCCTTTCCTCGCGTTCCGACAGCTTAGAGTCCCTTTATATAGAAGGAATGCTCTGGACTTTTCTCGTAGCGGCTCGTAGCATCACGCTTTGGATTCCGCGTTATGTCTATAGCCCTTCGCTCAGCAACTGTGGTTCGTCCTGCAAGAGTTTAGATCCACTGCATGCTGTTGCGTAGAAAAGGGCTGCGCGGATAGAGCTGGCTAGTGAAGATAAATATATAACCGCTGTTATATCTGTTAATATCTGTTATTGTCTTACCGACGATTATGTGTGCGTCCACATACACACGCGCGTGCACCCGCACACGCACACACAAACACACACGCTCGTTCGCGCACGCACGGCCATACCTACGCACACACGCAAGCACTCACACGCACACGCACATCACACAAACATACGCACGCACGCACGTCCATACCTACGCACACACGCAAGCACTCACACGCACACGCACATCACACAAACATACGCACGCACGCACGTCCATACCTACGCACACACGCAAGCACTCACACGCACACGCACATCACACAAACATACGCACGCACGCACGTCCATACCTACGCACACACGCAAGCACTCACACGCACACGCACAT